TATATCTCTTGAGGGTCATCCACTCAACCTCCCAACTCAAGTACATGTAAATATACAAATATTTTGTACCACTGAAAGTAAAATGTATTTGGTCTTGAAGCAAATATCCCTCATCTGTACTTTACTTTGAATGGTATATCATACATAAAATGTATTATTGGTTTATAATAAGAGTATCTTTAAATTACATTATAGTAATATTTTAAAAATATATACAAGTTGATTATATCTATATGAAACATTCTTGTTTGGTTTCCTTTTATCATGTTTTAAGGTCAAATGTGACTCTAATGTTCTACAAAGAGACAGAGATTGATAATCAGGAAAGAATAGTCTTTTAATGTGATTTATATCTATAGATTTTATGTCAGATATGAAAAGTTGCTGGTCAAATTGTAAAGGAGGATCCATTAAAGAACGCTTTAAACCATTTCACTGTTTAGTTTACCTTGAGCTCATGTTTTTAGAATCGTACCTTTTCAGGCAAGCTTTAATCAAATGCTTAGAAAATATAATTTGATAAAGTTGAATGTTCTAATATTAATAAAAGAAGAGGCTATTCAATAATGTTTTTTGGATACTTAGACCACTGTTTAATAATATGAAGACGTGTTTCAGTGGAGTACAGAAGCCAGTGATTTTCCATATCTCATGAATAACTTGGATTTTCTCTTATCAGCCAAAACTAAACAAGGGCAGATTATGGGTACAGTAGAGAATGTTGACAACATAAAGTTCTGCAGATGTCCATCTACCATTTTGTGCTGTTTCAGTGTATAGTTGGGCTCTTTATGAAGGAACTGATAGGATGCTTTTTGGTTTTTGAATGAATCAGTATACAAATATGGTATTTTTATTATCCTACTTCTTATCTCTTAAACTACTATCTCTTCAGAGATTTCTTAATCATTTTCCTTCTTTTGTGTGTTCAATTTATATTTTTGACAAACTGAGCTCTTGTGTTTTATTTGGCTCAGACTGTGTTATTGTTTACATAGGGACTGTGAAAACTTTATGGAGAAATGGAATTTTAAAATATTTGGATAAAAAAACCTTGAAAACACATGCATAGTTTTTTCATAACTTACTTTTTCATGAACTTTTTGATGTACGCTATTATAGTGGTTGACATTTACCTTTAATGTAAATGAGGCTGGTTCCTAACATGAACTGTTTCTCAAGATCAGTGTCTAGATTATGTAAAATAGTTTGCTTTTACCAGTGCTTTACTCAGAACTTGTACAGTAGGATTCTCAAGTTAATTTCCCAAGGTTGCCCAAAATCATCCAGTTGATAATTTCTTTTAAAAACAAAGACAAAGGCAAAAAAAACACCCTCATAATTTCTTTATTTAAAAGATTTGTTTTTTATTTATTTGAAAAGCAGAGTTAGAGAGAGGAAGAGAGAGAGAGATCGAGATCGAGATCAAGAGAGATCTTTCATCTGCTGGTTCACTCCCCAAATGACCACTACAGCCAGGGCTGTGTCAGGCCGAAGCCAGGATCCCAGAGCTTCTTCCAGGTCTCCCACCTGGGTGTAGAGGTCCCAACATTTGGGCCATCTTCTACTGTTTCCCTGGACACATTAGTAGGGAGCTGGATAGGAAGTGGAACAGCCAGGACTCAAACGAGCAGCCATATGGGATGCTGTTGTCGCAGGCTTCATCAGGTATGCCACACTGCTGGCCCAACAAATTCTTAGAATGCTTGGAACCCACCCCCCCATTTTCCAGGTGAAGACCAGTAGATATAATGAAATAAATTAGGGGGCCAGCACTGTGGCATAGTAGGTTAAGCATCTCCCTGTGGTGAGGGCATCCCATATGGGTGCCAGTTCGAGTCCTGGCTGCTCTGCTTCTGATCCAGCTCCATGCTGATGGCCTGGGAAAGCAGCAGAAGATGGTCCAAGTGCTTGGGCCCCTGCACCTGCATGGGAGACCCAAAAGAAGCTCCTGGCTCCTAGTTTTGGCCTGGTCCAGCTCTGGCCATTGCAGCCATATGGGAAGTGAACCAGTGGATGGAAGATCTCTCTCTCTCTGTCTCTCCCTCTGTCTGTAACTCTGCCTCTCAAGTAAATAAATACATTAAAAAAAGAAAAAAGGAAAGCAAATTAGGTTGGTGCCCAAGGCTGTGAGGAGGTATTAGAAAGGATGAAACTATAACCTGGTGGTGGTTTTACTCCTCAATTTGTGTTCATTCATGTGAACATGCTGTGATTCTTAGTGATGTTTCCGGAAAGAATTCAGATGTTAGAGAGTAGTGGTGAGCAAGGTAGCAAAGTTTAATGGACAGAGTATGCCTGATAGGCTGGATGGCCATCTCGGGCAAGGGCTGAGAGCACAGTCTGCATTCAGATTGGAGTTTTTTTGGACATGAGTGTGGGTTCCCCAATTCTTTCCCCGTCTCCCTCTTCTGAAAATTGTGGGTAGGGGATTGCTGGTACTGAGAATGCTCCCAGGATCTTATCAGCACAGTGGATTGGACCTAATAGCCTCCTTGGTGCAGGGCAGACAGAATTCCCCTGAGCTGCCCCCTGGGAGAGGGCTGAACCCATGTTATAAGGGGATAGAGGCCGGCGCCGCGGCTCACTAGGCTAATCCTCCGCCTAGCGGCGCCGGCACACCGGGTTCTAGTCCCGGTCGGGGCGCCGGATTCTGTCCCGGTTGCCCCTCTTCCAGGCCAGCCCTCTGCTGTGGCCCGGGAGTGCAGTGGAGGATGGCCCAGGTGCTTGGGCCCTGCACCCCATGGGAGACCAGGAAAAGCACCTGGCTCCTGGCTCCTGCCATCGGATCAGCGTGGTGCGCCGGCCGCAGCGCGCCGGCCGTGGCGGCCATTGGAGGGTGAACCAATGGCAAAGGAAGACCTTTCTCTCTGTCTCTCTCTCTCTCTCACTGTCCACTCTGCCTGTCAAAAAAAAAAAAAAGGGGGGGGGGATAGAACCAGAGCAATTGCCACAGTTGTAATTGCTAGTGTGCTTGAATTCAGGGCTTGTTTCCTTGATTCATTGTGTAAAAATTCTCATTTTCTTCAGCCCATCTTACACACATAGACTTATGTCTGCCTAGCTGCTTTAACAGCGGCTTTATAATTTTCATATACATTGCAGAATTTCTTCAATCTGTTACTTTTTCAACCTGTATTTTGTCCATAGGTAAAACTGTATTGCTTTGCCCTTCCTTGGAATTAGTCCATCTTTTTCTGTCTCGCCCTTGCTTGAAAATTGTCTTTATTCCCACCAAGGAATAACTTAATCTTCTCAAGTTCCTCCATTATTAAACTCAGCCTTTTGTCTCTCTAGCATAGTATCTTGCATAGATTGAAAGACATATGATTCTGTTGTATGTTACTGTATCTGTGCAGTTGCTTTTGGTGTAACGAACAGAAAACCTAATTCACACTGGAATATAATGAACAGCAGTTTACTTTTCATACAAAGTCTAAGGAAAAAAGGATCATGGGAAATCTGATAGTAGGTGGTCTTTAGGGGTTGATTAGTTCAGTAGCTCTTGATTCCATCTGGAAGGTCTAAGTTTCTGTAATTCTTATAGTTCTGCTCTCTTTAGGTTTTACTTTCAGACCCACTTCCTTCATGGAACAGAGAAAGCTTCCAGTAGTCCTGGAGTTAAGTACTTCCTCTCTGTTCTACTCTAAGAGGAAGGAGGAACTACCCACCAACCAGTATGAACTTCCCACCTGAAGCACCAGTTATATCAGTGCCTGTTCCTGAGCCAGGTCTCTGTGTAGGTGTAATTATTACCCTGAAGGATATAGGACTAGGAACTTCCTTTATTGCTGAAGCTGTGTTTTGGGCAGGATCTGACAACAGTCTATTTAAGTTGGTACACAGTATGAGAGGGGGACAGCCACAGTGTTTATGCCGTGTAAAGAAGTAATATTTGTTAAACCATCAAATTATTTTACATAGGAGAATATCTTATGTTGGTATTCGTAGGGGTATGTGTGTGTGTGTGTATTTAGAATTTAGGTTTGAAAATTAAAGGGAAGAGTCCAGTAAACCTGTGAATAACCTGAAAGGTCAAGTTTATATCTTATTTTAAGCAATGCATTAATTATAACATCATAAACATGATACCACAAGAATTGGAATTCCAAAAGAAAAGAAATAAGCATTTTAGAAACTAACAGTTGTGTTGTGTTTGATTATTGCTAAAGAATCCTGTGACTTTTTTTTTTTTTTAGCAAAATTGTTACCAAAGTACATTTCAAACTTTAATATATGTATCAGTCTCCTGGGAGTCTTATTAAAATCCACATACTTATTTAGTAGGTTTGGGTGAAACCTGAGATTCTGCATTTCTGTTAAGCTCCTTGTTGGTTCCATTGTTATCAATTGGTTTTGTAGTGCTAGGATTTAAAAGAGGAAACTATTCAGTTTTCTAAAGTTGTAGAGAGCTAGCTAAATTTTATTTTATTTTTTTAGTTGTAAGCTACTATTATTTCTTTTCTATGCTTCTGCAGCGGTTTCATATTTTGTCTCCTACTTCAGTTGTTTCACAACAATCCATTCAATCCATTCTTCATTTTAATATTTAAACTGGTCACATCCCTCCACTGTTTGAAATCTTCCCCTGGTTTCCCAGTGCATTATAATAAAATCTAACCCCCTTGGGATAATTACATAGAACAGAGGAAGCAGCCTTAACCTACCTGTCTTCTCATTTCCTGTCAGTCTCTCTTATTCAGTAAATCTCACGTTCTTTACAGCCTCACTTGGTGTAGTTTGTAAAGCTGAGCCCATGCATCTTTTTTGAGTGACTTATTTTCATTGTTCAGATTTCTGCTTAAATATTTTCCATTTCTGAGTGTATCTTATGACTTAAGAAAAGTAAATTTGTGGGAGATGTACTGGATTAACAGGCTCTTAAATTTTAGATTAGTGAAGTTTGGTTGGTTGGATTCAAGCTAAAAATTATGGCATGATGCATTAATGTTTTTTGTGTGTTTATACTATTAATACATGTTTCTTCTATTCTATTCAAGTCACTGTGTGCCCAGTATTCTGCAGACAAGCGAGAAGAAGAGAAGATGTGTGATCATTTGATAAGAGCAGCTAAATATCGAGACCACGTGACAGCAACTCAACTAATCCAGAAAATCATCAACATTCTCACAGACAAGCATGGAGCCTGGGGAAATTCTGCAGTGAGGTAAAGGGATACCTGTAGGACTAGACCACTGATTTTCTGTAAGATGGCTTGGGTTTAGATAAATGGCTTTGGATATGATCATGACCAGATGAAGAACAGAGTTTAATTTTGTATTTTATCATCTACAATGAATTTAAAGCAAAGGAGAAGGAGAAAATCAGTATAGTTATAGGTCTTTGTAGATATTTACTTCCCTCAGCTACTTCTAAAAGACTCTTATCTCTGTATTCACTTGGAGTGAAATGCTAAGAAAAGCAGTGAATATAAACCTAGTAGCTGTTCTTACAGTGAATTTTTACAAATATTTTATTTAAAAGAACAATTCTTGGGCTTACACTTTGGAATTTTAATGCATAAATTTTCAAACGTAATGACTTGTTGTTGTCTTGAATTATATTGCAAATTGTAGGACTGATGTGATAAAATTAAGCACTCTTTAAAATTTTATTCAGTGCGTCTGCTTCCTTTTAAGATAACCAAGTTGAGCAGGATATTCTTGGTTCTACTTTCTTGAAACAAAATAATTATCTCTTAGTTCTAACAAACTTTTAGTACTAATGAAGTAGCAAAATGTATTCTCCATGGAAGATTTGTATACTGCAAATCTTAGAAACATGCTTTCACTTTTTAAGTAGTGTCAAAAAAATGTTTTCTGTCATTAGAACACACTAAGGTTTAATTCCTCATATATATGCAACTTTTTCTAGAAGACAAAAAACAAAATCGTGAATCACATGTATATTATGCAAGTGTGATTAGCTCACACTTGTGTTTTAATTAACATGTGTTTAGCAAATATCAAAACCTAGGTTAGAAATTTTCCAGAGAAAGAAAATAATTTTAATTTTTGAAAGGTAAACAAAAAAATTGAGTTGAAAGCCACTTGTAACATTATTTTTGTTTTGAGCACAAGTATATACTAGTATAGATATATGTCATGATAATTATTACAAAGAATATTTACATATAATGAACTGTGTTTCTGGAAATATAATTTTTGATATTCAGAGAAAGGAAACGAAGTGAAGGACTTGAGGACAAAAGGGCAAAGTAAAGGTAACAAACATGGTTATTTGTGTTAATCCTATTCCCTTGATCTCTAGGCAAAGAGTGGCTGTGGACATGGCATGTGGTACTGGGTCAGTGTGTCTGGTACCTTAATCTTGCAACACGTATAAGTCCTGGGTGTGGGAGAAGGGGGGCGGAGTTGTATTGAGGATGTGAGAGTTGTAGGTTTAATGTTTAATGTCGCAGATTTGATATCATTTTGACACCAGGTTCTGAATAAATTAGATTATTTCTCTGATGTATTATTATATGGCATATTATAGGAATGTATTATGATAGTATTTTAGATGTCCATGAAAGTAGAAATAAAAAATAAACTCATTTTAGTGCAAAAATTTTTTGAAATTCATTGCATACTAGCGGTCTCCAAAAAGTTCATGAAAAATGCATGGATTTGAAAATTTTTGCACCAAAATATGTATTTTAATTCCATTTTCCATGAAACTTTTGAAGCTTCCTTATTGTAGTTTTAATTTTCTTAAATTTGTTCACCTAAAAGGAATTTTACAATTTAAAATCAAAAACCTTTAGAGTAACTTAGGACAAGCGTTTCATGGATAATTTTTATGAGATCAAAATTTTTTCTGATGATAACACAGGTACACTGTGCTTTCAAAATGAAAAGATTATTTTTCTGAAGTGATTTTGCTGTAATAAACTATGTTGGATAGCTAAATGAACTGTGAAATGTATTTATCTAGAAATAATTAGTGTTTCTGTAGTACAATTGTTAAATGATATCAACTCTATTATCTGTATAGCTAGAAACAATTAAACTTAATTCTGAAATTTCAATATTTTGAAAATCCAAAGAATAAAACATTTTCATACTTTTTCCTCCCAAATGAAAATATCTGTCAAACTGTCAGGTTTGTAATATGTGCACTTTTAATTCAAAGTAGTAACAAAGGTTATGTCATCAAAAAGTAAATATTACAGAATTTATATTTTTATATGAATCTCCTAACTTAAATGTTGTTAAAAGCATGTCGCAGAGCACATTGCTTCCATGTTGATGTTTCTTTGTCATTATGTTTAGTTCAGTGTCACAGTCAGAATTACTTAGAATACCTGGTGGCCCCCTTATACCTTATATGCGGTTATCTTAAAAGTGATCCTTTGCAATATTAATTCCCACTAGGGTGAATTTGCAGAACTTGATGCTTTTTTTTTAGGTAGCTATGTAAACAAATGTATGCTGGCTCACCATTCTTTGACAGTGGTTAACTATTCTCTGATTTTACTCAGAAATGAGGCTCGCATAA